AATGGAAACTTGATGAGAATATTTTTTGCGTCCTCACTTTTTTTTCTCTCCCTGCTTTCCCACATGCCTACAGATGACTGCTGTTTTACCAAGCATGCGATCCTAATATACGCCGAGCAGCCTGTACATGTGCTTAGAAAAGAGCTGTCATTGATCATACAGCATTGGCTTGGGCTTGCGCACAGGTGCGTTAGAGAAGCAACACAATAGCGAAAAGAAAGGGAATCCTAAAGTAAATCATGTGTGGAGTGAAGTGCATTGAGGCCCCATTTTGTCTAATCCTCATGCCAAACATTCTTGGCTTCTGTGATGAGGGTGGGAGGGCAGTGGGACAGTGGGAGGTGGGAGGTTACAGGATGGAGAGACTCAACCAAACTCCCCTGGCCAGATGTCGTGCCAGTAGTAAGACAAAAAGTAAATGTGAAAAGGCCAGTTGCTTTATGAACCATACATTATTAAACCGGGGGTATTATGTGCAGCTGGGAAGTGCGCCTAATTTTTTATTTGACGAAGTGCCAGGACTTTTACCAGGCTTGCGTTGCTCTGCAACTTTTGGCGGAGCGAGCCCTGTTCTTGCGATTTCGTTAGTGCCCCTGGGTGCTTTATCAGATTCATTTTTGTGTCGTGGAATAACTGTATACGGAGGTTTTATTGGTGGATATGTTCATTGATTTGATGTTTAATGGACATTTAATGCACACGTTTACAAAATTAGAAGATGAAATTGCTGCAATTGGGAAAGCCAACAGACGCACTGACAATATATATGCTGGGAGAATGTGTTACTTTTACATTATTCAGTCTATGATGTAGAATTACTAGACCCATTTCTCATAGCAACTGATAGATGCTTACAACAGTGGCTTGTTTATGTTCTGTGCCATTCATTTCAAAGTTCATTTGATGTTTGTGCTGCTGGGTTAAAAAAGAGCCTTGTTTTGCTAAACCAAATTTTAGTGATACATCATGATCGTAGGGGTTTATTTTTTCTAAAATCCGTAGCATATAGATGGCTGGCTGAAGAAAAAAATATATATATTTTGAAAAACAATACTGTCCCAGGAGCTGACCAGTTTATTTCTCTAATGGCTCAGACTGGAGCTTAAAATGTGTCAAAAAAACAAACCAGGACCGGCGCACGTGACGTGACATGCACATGTATCCAACATCAAAAATGGTCGAGGGAGCTAAACAAATGAACCCTGCAGATGGAACTTGACTTTACACCGCAAATCTCCGCGGACGCGTTTTCAACGGGGGTGTTCTATCATTGCGCACGACAGATTTGATACCTCAGCTTTTTTTTTTTAGAACGTTTTTCTCACAGTCTGCGCACGCAGGCATTCCGCCAGGGCCACGGCTGCGATAACGTTTTAGCCTCGTCGTATCCCACGTGCGCACACCATGCCGAGGTGCGGGCGGGTTCGCCGCGGCGCCACCTGTTCACGATCGGACGTCGGTCACTTTTCAATTCCCTGCCGGTGCTGTAAGGAAATGTCCCCCTTCGCTGGCACCCCGGTTGTATTCCGCCCGTTCGGCCTCCTCGGCGCAAAGTGTTGTTGCACAAGACAGGATGCCATTAATAATGGTGCTGTTCCTTGTGCAGGTGCTTCCTCAAGTGACCCCCGAAGCTGGCGATTAGACCCCATGAGCAGCACTCGCCTAGATTTGAAGCTTTCGTGACTGCAAGGATTCATATTCTTAGGTTTTTTTCAGTAAAGTCACGTAGGTAAAACAAATTAAAATTTATCAAAGTAAAATAAAAATAAAATAAAAATCACGACGTTTCGGAGGCAACAGAAGCTTCCGTCTTCAGGTGGAACCGTCACAGCACGATAGCTGTATCAAGTGATACAGCTGTCGTGAAACGTCGTGATTTTTATTTTATTTTTTATTTTAATTTTATTAATTACCGAAAAAACCTAAGAATACAGCACTCGCCTCCCATCAGGATCCATGGGCCCCAAGCAAAACTCAGCCACTCGCAGTGGCAGTGAATGGCGCTTATAGGATTTGTACTGCGCCATTGACCTTTCTCCCTAATGCATTTGACCCTATTCACTTGACCCCCCCCACCCACCCATCCACCTATTTCTCGATTGTGTAGTCTGTGCTCTGCTCGTCGATACGCATGCACAGTCGAGAAAGGATGTGGCCCCATGTCCCGGTGGAGAGCCAAAATATTGCTATGTTCGTGAAATATGAAAATGTTTTGGGGCCATTGACATGCGGGGATTGTGAGAAACTAGGGGAACGGTGGAGAGTCTGCATGCGGAACTCTACATTTTCTCAGCTGAGTTTTCATTCACAGCACACACACGTTTCCCAGTTGCATATAAATGTTTTGCAAGATGTTGTTAAATGTAGGAATTGCAATTCCATCAACAGTTGCAGCAAAATGTTTTGGTCACACAGTCAAAGATATCAGAGTATGTCTCTTGGATACTTCGAGATACATTTGAACCATAAAACATGTGCTTAATGGATATACTTTTACCGTTGTCTTCCAAACTCCCATAAATACTTAAAACCATTGAAAGAATCCAATTTACAGGACAAATTAAACACAGTAGCCTATTCAAGGAAAGTATCTGAGTACCCGGAATGTTTTGCTTGACAAGCAAAGTTTCTTTGAATTAAAATTAAATGTCCTAGCCAAACGGTCTCCAATAAAATTAGCCCATTCGTGCCAGCAAGTGGTACATTTGCACATCAGCAGCTTTGTCTTTAAATTATACTCAGTTTGACAATTAAGGGCCCTCGTGAAGCCCATAATTTTCCTCTATAAATGTTTTCTCAAAGCATTCCAAAGAAACACGTCAACAAATCAACATCACATGGATTACGCATGCATAAGTTAATTAATTTTACAATTTAATCGCCTTAAAGGATAGAAATAAAATAGATTTTTATTTTCTTGGGTGCTAGCTCATATTTCGAACCTACAAATATGAGTCAGCATGCATGAGTGATGTCGCAATGACTTCGGTTAATGTATTCATTATTTTAAAAAAATTCATCATTACCAGTGTATACTAACTGACAATTGTTTGATGGGTATAATACTATGTACGGTGCGAAAAAAGTTCAACATACATATACACTGGTGTTCTTATTAGCTTCACTATACTAATTAAACTCTGTGATCTTGGATATGTTTCTGATCACAAGAGGTTATGTTTTTGTTTATTTGTTAACATTATATGAAGCTAATACTTCATACAATTACAGTTTTACATAAGCGCACAGTTTCTTCCAAGATACACTGGTCAAATCCCACCCCCACTCCCATGACTGACATGGGGTGGCTTTCATCCAGCAGTGGATTGCCAATGGGCTTAACGTTATTAAAATTGTTTATACAGTTACATAATACATACGCAGTTCATAATTCATCGTTTTTATTAAGTCGTGGTTGATCCCAGACTGCCACATTGATTCACTCTTCAAGTCTGTGATGGTAGAACACTGCCTCACATTAAAGGCAATAGATGTTCTGACCCAGGGCAGATATGGGGGGTGTGTTTACACAGGAACTTCCTGATATGATGGTATTGAGTTTGGTCACGTGATCAGGAAGTTACGAGTTAAGGGTATCAAAGCCACGAGGCAAGGCAGGGGTGTCAGCCATTACAACGAGTACAAAATGGAGGCACAATTAGTGTCTCAGTGAAGACGGGTGCGTCTGTTCATTGTGGGACTTTAAGAAGCATTGACTGTAACTTCGTTTATGTTCCTATAATACTGGGAATCCATAATAGAGGTTTTTAGATTAGATCGCGTAAATATATAAATATGTCGTGAAAACTCGCCACCACCCGACACAGCCAATCCTTACGAGTTGGCTGTGTCGGGTGGTGGCGGGTTTTAACGACACATTTATATATTTACGCGATCTAACCCAAAAACCTCTATTATAGATGATATTGGTCGCAAAAGCCTATGTGTTAATACTGGGAATGCATTTATAATGCTGTTAAATTGGTATGATAAATATGAGGCCTAGTTAACAACGAAGCCTGCCACTTGCATTATTGTAAATGTTATTTGGAATTGGATAAGTCAAGCCAGACTTGTGCCCACGTAACTTTAATGCATTCTTGAGAGCAAGGATGAAGAAGTATCTCATCCACAGTTCAGTGTTATGTGCAGCGCTGTACATTTGGATTGCAGTATGGTGATTACACAAAGTGACCTTATTTAACACAGTAGCTTATTCTCTTGTATGGCTATTCAGTGCTAATGTAGGTGCCTGGTCCATCCAGGACCTATTATTGAGATTCATGTTATCTAAGACAATGTTATGATGCTGCAGTATTCATGAATTGTATTCATATTGCAAATATTAACATATGCTGTATTTTGTGCTGTGTTTTTCCATCAATTTCCCATCGTACTATTCATTAAATTCGTTGGAGTCGTATGGTCACCCTGACTCTGAAAGTTTATTAAATACGAGGTTAACTACTCGTATAGTGGTGACGCAGCGCACAGCGAGGCCGAGACAAGGATGATTGCATTTACACTTGGCAACAAACAATTGCAATGCCTTAGACACGCGAACAACTTCAGTTTGAATGTTTCATTTCAAAGACACGCCACGACATTTTGCGTGCACTTATTAACCCCGCTAGGCAGCACCGTCGGTTTTCGACTGAGCACGATTTGTCAAGCGGCACTGCCACACGCACACACACATATATATAGACTGGTGACGTTTGTGTCCGAGTAACGAACCCGGCACTGCCACACGCACACACACATATATATAGACCGGTGACGTTTGTGTCCGAGTAACGAACCCGGCACTGCCACACGCACACACACATATATATAGACCGGTGACGTTTGTGTCCGAGTAACGAACCCGGCACTGCCACACGCACACACACATATATATAGACCGGTGACGTTTGTGTCCGAGTAACGAACCCGACTCTACTACCTTTTCCCCTCTGTTCCACCGCGCCTGCCACTGGCACTCCCATCTGCCGACTCAGGCCCAGAGTCCCTATGAGCAAGAGTTGGAGTATGTCCCCGAATTCAGCCTGACCCGCGGGGAAAGCATGCTGGAGGAGACCCCTGAGCAGCTACTCATCTACCGACAAGACGGCCAGGTCAGTCCTTTCTAAATGCAGAGCATGCTGTTTTTGTGTGTGTGTGTGTGCCACTTACACCTGGTGGGGCAACGTTGTCCAGGTGTCCGTGTGTCTTCGGCTTCGACACAATGTGGTGAAGAAAGGTGTCGAAAGCCAGATCTGACCTCAGGCACCCTGTTTCGTGCGTCGATGTGGGGCCACTGATGACATTGGCCTGTATGGCAGTGGTACTTGCATGTAAATCCACAAACCAGTTTTGGGTTGCTGCCCACTTTCTCCATTCGAGCTCTACACGCTGAGAGAAATATTCATGAATGTTGACAGTGTTTTGAGTGGGGATGCCATTGCTATGAATTCATCCGTATATTTGTTGGACGTGGTTTTTTTTTCTTCTGTTCGAGAGAAAATGCAAGCGATTTGAATGAAATCCATACCTAAATTACCTGCTTTGCAGCAATTACTTTAATAACAGCCTTAGTCCTTCTCAATTATTACCACTAACAAAAACTCCACCCTGCAGCCACAGCCATTGACATTAACCTACTGTAAGGGGGGGGGCGGGGGGGAATAACTCTGTACGTGTTGTTGGTATGCATGCAATTGTGTGTGTGGGCCTGTTGCATAGTGGGGAGCGGTAGTGTAACGGTTAGCGCTACGCTGCGCTACGAAGCCGGCGAACCGAGTTCGATTCCCGCTCACGGCCAACACCGGTGACGATTATCTGAATCTGGTCCTGGACCTCCCCTAGGTCGACTCAGCCTCAAATGAGTACCTGCTGCGATGTGTAGCTCGTGATGCTGACCACTCACCATTCTCGTGTGCGGTGCCGGCCTTCATAGGTGCTCGCTAACAGCACTTGTCCCGACTTGCCGTCAAGGCTATACGGGGGTTCTTTGTTGCATACAACTGCGGTGCCCCCAAGAGATCCATGCTCTCATTCCGGCCCCCTTGCCAGTATTAAAACAACGTCGGCACAAAGTAAAGAAAAACATAACGCAGCATGCGAAATCCCGCAGGTGAGAAACCACCCACAGACTAATGAAAGCACTCGAGGGCAAGTGAGTTTGCGCACATCATTCTGAAGCGCAGTTTTTGCTTGTTGTTTGGAATTCCGAGCGACACATACCAAACGCATTTTTGCATTCCTCTGTAAGGCTGGAGGGATTGCCTAGCCTAGGAGGCTTTAAAAAGTGCAACTGTGACGTACTTGGAGGTCGCGGTCGAATTTTCGAATGTGCGTACATGTACATTGTTTACCTTTGCCCAGCCAAGCCGAATTAGTTAGCTTTCACGTACTCGGCGGTGCGACTGCGGTCATCCGGAATAGACCATAACAACACATTACGATGCAATGGCCGATCCATGGATATACAAATGAGACGTCACAGCGATGACACTCTGCTGCTCCTGACGCGCTTGTCCGGCTTGACGACCTGAATGTGAAATTGTAGTTGATGCTCTGCACCGAAGACATCAGCCGCACGAAAGAAGAAGCTGACTCGAAACAGTCGTCACATTTCTCTTGGTTCTTTCGGTAAAGTCACGTAGAATGGAAATAATAAAATAATAAAAATAAAACATAATAAAATAATTATCACGACGTTTCGGCCACAACGCAAGCAGCCGTCCTCAGGTGAAGAACAGGTCTGTCGGAAAGACTCATTCAGATGCTGTCTTCCCGACAGACCTGTTCTTCACCTGAGGACGGCTGCTTGCGTTGTGGCCGAAACGTCGTGAGAATTACTTTATTATGTTTTATTTTTATTATTTTATTATTTCCATTCTACGTGACTTTACCGAAAGAACCAAGAAGATGAATCCCTGCAGTCACGAAAGCTTTTAATCGAAATTCAAGTCGTTACATTTCCTCGGTGGTGTACTTTGGTATTATGGAGTGAGGAGGGCGCCTTGCTTTTGCTCTCTCACGCTGCTGATGACGGAAAGCCCTAAACTAGACGAGCTCTTGAAAGCCCCACTCGAGAGATTCCTTCTAGAGGGTATTTGGCCTACTCTTTCAATGCTGGCCAAATGCCTTGTAAGAAGCTCTTCCCCTCCGCACGAAATCTGCCGAACGACTGACTGTGGTGTATCCTCTTGAATTGTATCGTACGTTCCATATTTATATTTCATAACTTAGATTTAATATCCAAACTTTAACTTTATTGGTGAATCTGTTTTTTTATATATAGATTATCCATAACAGTGTCTACAGGCTGGAGTGCAACAGCTGACTAAAATGTCATATTCTCTCCTCGTAAAAAATCACACGTCTATTATATCAGTGAAAACAAATTCTGCGTACAAACATTTGAAGTAGCAATGGTTTATAAAATGTCAGGGATTTTGAGGGATAAATAAATCCAATTTTTATTGAGCAGCGTGTGACTCTTTAAAGTGTATGTGTGTATAACATATGTGTGTGATGTTTATTTACACGAGAATATATATGTCTAGGGAATTTGCTTAAAGCAAACTGGGTCATGAAGTAGTAACTATTTGGCGTTTTGTTTACGTGACAAATCCTTTACTGATTGACCGTGTCGGGTGGTGGAGGGTTTCGACACATCCATACTTACGCGATCTAACCCAAAAAACCTTTATTATGATGAATATCGGTAGCGAAAGCATACGTGTTAAACTGGATCATGGTGATTTAAAGCTTTCGTAACTGCAGGGATTAATCTTCTTGGTTCTTTCGGTAAAGTCACGTAGAATGGAAATAATAAAATAATAAAAATAAAACATAATAAGATAATTCTCACGACGTTTCGGCCACAACGCAAGTAGCTGTCCTCAGGTGGAGAGCAGGTCTGTCGAGGAGACAGAGTCTGACGGCTACTTGCGTTGTGGCTGAAACGTCGTGAGAATTATCTTATTATGTTTTATATTTATTATTTTATTATTTCCATTCTACGTGACTTTACCGTGAGAATTATCTTATTATGTTTTATATTTATTATTTTATTATTTCCATTCTACGTGACTTTACCGTGAGAATTATCTTATTATGTTTTATATTTATTATTTTATTATTTCCATTCTACGCGACTTTACCGAAAGAATCAAGAAGCTGGATCATGGTGTTGAAATGAAAACGCGTGGGTGTGGTAAATGTCCTAAAAAAAAAAACTTTTAATCCGTCGACTTTCTTAGTCGGGTTACACGGCACCAAATGTCACGATATTTTTTTCGAAGTTCACTCACGAACACGCGGTCAGCGCGTCTGATCGCCGTCACGCCACGCACGAGTCCGCGCAGGCGACGCGCGTTAACAACATTCCGTGTCGAGCGACACAATAGCGACACGCGCGTTTATTTCTTCATTTATTTAACATCATTTCACCGCTGTCATTATTTTGTTCGCTGTACCAACCGATTTGCAAGGCGTATGCACGCGCTAGGATGGCACGTACGTGATACATTCGTCACGGCCGATTCGCTTCCATCCGCGTATCGTATCAGAAGTAAGCGCGATACGTTACTCGCCATCAGTTTAGCAAGTAAAGTTCCTGCACAGACAGCCAACATGTTATTCTGATGCTAAAGAATGTGCCGACCTCCAGGCGAATATGCCATTCATATCCCATGACAGGGCTTGGCTGGCTGTCTGTACATGACGTTAATGACAAGTGAAGCTGCTGTTACCACCTCGATTCAGTTTCTCCTCCTTACGCAATTACTCATGGCACGAGTTCTGCAAATTCTGCTGTTAAACGCCATGACTTTTGTTGTTGTTGTTGTTTTAGCAAGTCGCTGAACAGAGGGCGAAAAGGCATATAGTGCAAAGTGTCCAGCACAAAAGATCACCCAACAATAATAATAATAATATACGAGATGAGAACAATGATTTTTCTTGCGATTACCAAGGTTAAAGGAATTTAATGGGGGCGGGGGGGGATAAATGATGGACAGACGTTTCAAAGTCGATCACTAAAAAGCAATGGCAGGCAAAGAGAAATATCTTGTTCTGCAACTAACCAAACTGTCGATGGGAATACAGTCAGTCGAGGAGAATGAGACTTTGATATTGTTGAAGGGGTATCGAACAACCACGATGTCCGATACAACTAATAGAGTGGATTACGCACGAGTGATGCATGCCGCAAAACACTCTTGTTTAACGCGCAACAACAGTGTATGCAAGTCTGGTATTCTCTTTGGTTTATTTTAATTTATTTTATTTTTTACCCACGTGACTTTACCGAAAAAACCCAAAGAGTATGGATCCTTGCAGTCACGAAAACTTCAAATCTAGAATTAAGTCTTGTATTATCTAAGGGGCTTCAGGAATGTTTTGCTCCGTTGGTTCTTTTTTCTTCGACCCGCATCTTTTCGTATGTTTCGGATGACAGCCATACGTCATCAAGCATCAACAACACAGCCTCGTTCTGTCGTGTCGATTGACTGACACGTGACCTTCGCAGCTGCAGTGATCGTATTGAGTTATTTTGTGTATTAATGGAATGCTGGCTGGTATGATTTACTGGCCTTTTAACTCCAGAATGGATAATTATATATATATTCATATTCTTGGTTCTTTCGGTAAAGTCACGTAGAAGGGAAATAATAAAATAATATTTATATCAAACAATAACAATTCTCACGACGTTTCGACTGCAACACAAGCAATCATCATCAGGTGTGAAATCCATTATTATTTCCCTTCTACGTGACTTTATCGAAAGAACCAAGAATATGAATCCCTGCAGTCACGAAAGCTTTAAATCAAAATTTATATATTTATTCAATTATAATTATATATATACATGTATATAGTTACGGTATATAAGCGTATACATTGCATGCAGCTGCAATGAATGTGGACTCTTTGTCTTGTCTGGTTGGACAAATTTAGTAATTGTGGGTAATTTTGCAGAATGGCAGTAACATTGACAAATGATGGCTCACCCTGTCTTGGATAATGTCACAGGGTCATTTTACGTCCGTAAGTTCGCTGATGGCTTGTCCCCGTCGCAACATGGGCACGTTAACTTGCAAATATTTCTAGATTATTGTCG